CTACACCCATTTTTGCTCTTAGGCCATCGATGAGGGCCTAAACACTAGATTTTGATGAAGAGTAACAACGCTAAGGGTAGTGAGGCAGATAGAGGGAACTGTTAGTTCTGCCTAGGAGAGCTGGGAAGGCATCATATGTGGAGGATGGTCACCTGAGTAGACTTTGAAGGAGGGCGGGGGTTAGTGGAAGCGTTGGAAGGAGGGCAAAGGCAGGCATAAGAAGAGGTTAGTGGGTTTCAGTTCAGCTGTCCTCCCAACAGCAGGAGAACTGCCCATCGTGGGCTCGAATTCCAGCCAGGCAATGACAAGCTGGAGTACACCGCACTTGTCCCTCTAGAACTGCCCTTTTGACCATAGTCCCCACCACTCCCCACGGTTCCCCCATCCAGGGCGCTTTCCTTCTCTTATCCTGATGAAATGCCTGTGCATCCTAAGGAGGCTCCAGGCCTCCTAAGGAGCATGTAGGAAGCTCTCTGCAAGACTGAGCTCATTCTAGCACTCAATTGCAAGGTTGTATTGTGGGGCTCTTCAGTTTCCTTATTTTACTATAATTTGCCAAGGAAGGTCTTGGAAGATAAATAGTGTAATGTATGGATATAGATATACATATATATTTGAATGAATACATGAACAAGTAAGTAATATACATTCTTGCATGTTTATCCCCAAACCAGCTCTTCTTTCCACCATTTTTTTCACTTTTACTATTAAAAAGTTCTCCTAAGATGAATATGAGTATTCCTAAAGTCAATCACAGTGCTTCTGTTTCACACTTCTATTGGGTTGAAATGGAAACAGGAACGCCATCGTGAATGTGGAACACACCATTATGTCTGGCAGTGAGATCAATTAGAGCTCAGGGTATGAGAATGCAACAGATAAGATCCCCAAATGCTATCAGTGCTCTCCGAGGACACTGTGGAGGACAGGAGAGGCGCCAAGAAGCATTGAGACAGGCAAATGTTCTGATTTTCAAAACGGGAACCGAGTGACAGCCTGCCAGTTTCCCAATGGCAGAATGTAATTTCACTCTCAGGCAAGGTTCGCAAGCAGATTGTAAAGGGACACTGAGAAGCCTCTAAGACAGGAAGTAATGTCTGTTTGGAGCCAGCGTGAGGGAACCAAGAACAAGTCAAGGCAGATTCATTGTGTTGCTAACAAGACCCCTAGACTAGGAGAGCAGAGATACCCGACAGGCATGCACGGTGTAAGTAATGAGCAGTGCAAAGCCCTAATGGAACACCTTACAGGCAGCATTAAAGGAGAGGACATTGATGGCTTTCTTCCTCCATATTGACAAAGTATTGAGAGTCAAATCTTCGGGTGTCTTTTTGGCAAAACTTCTTTGAAAACATGAAGCTTTCCTGCAGGTTACTGATATCTATGGAAAAATTAAGAGATGTAGGTGGGCTTAAAAATGGCAACAAATGCCTGGTAGTGGCGCATGCCTTTAGTCACAGCACTCGGGAGGCAGAAGCAGGCGGATCTCTGTGAGTTCGAGGTCAGCCTGTTCTACAGAGCAAGTTCCAGGACAGGTTCTAAAGCTACAGAGAAACCCTGTCTTGGAAAACAAAAAACAAAACAAACAAACAAAAAAGTGGCAACAAATGGTTACACTCAAGTATGACTGCATTTGGACAGGATGTGTGCCCTCAAATCTGTCATAACTGTCATCACCCCTTCTACTGCTGTCAGTAAGGTGTGCCACCTGCCACAAACCATCTTCATTCTACCCTCCAAGCACTCAACACATTACAGCAAGTCCTGGGTTTAATCCCCAACATAGCTTATATAAACCCAGCATGGTGATAAGTACTGTAACCACAGTACTTAGGAGGCAGGAGCATCAGGAGTTCAAAGTCATCCATGGCTAAATAGTACAAGACTATCCTGGGGCACATGAGAAACTCCCCACAATCCTCAAATAGACAAGTGAAACAATGAAGACAGTAAATGGTAGTGGGCCTTGTTACCAAAGCAAATAAGGCTAACTACAGTCAGGGGTACATTCAGAGGCTCCCAACACCCAAATGTATAGGCAGTCACAGAAAAGTGTCTATCCTGTTCCAAGAAGTCCCCAAGAAGAAGAAATTATAGAACCAATGGGTAGATGATGCCATCTAAGAAAAAATCCTATGAGTCACAGCTGTCCAAACTTAAAGTATGTAGGCCTGGAGGACACTGAGTTTTTCGTCCCTGGAATACACAAACACAAGTATATAGTCAAGAGATTGATTCAGGTATCTGGGGAGGCAAGAGAAGACTCGAATCTAACAATGTTTATAATAGAAATGCTATATGAAAGTATGCGTCCTTTGTTAAGTCAGTAAATGCCTTAATTAGAGACAAGAAGGAGAAAGCCAACAGAGAACTCAACACTGTTTTGAAAAATCCTAAGTTGCCCTCACAAAATTTGCAATCTATGAGACCTGTTTAATGAAGTAGGCTGGTTGCACCAACCTGACCAAATGCCAGGAAGAAAGTAATTGGCACAGAGCTTTATTTTGCTCAGTTGGTCAAACATCCCTCAGAGACAAGCCACAAAGGCAGAGGGAAGAAAATGAGAGGGGAAACAATGGGACACCATCAAGAGGCTGCCAGTCAGTCCCCAGCACAACGCTGCCATCTGGTACTGACATCAATCCTTCAAGGGGCTGTGTCAGCCAAACAATGTACCAGGGACACCAAGCCTGGGAAGATAACGGCCTTGCGACCTTGGGTAAGTCACTGAACACTGCCAGAGCTCGGCTCCTTATCTCTGAACTGGGTTCATACTAACCCTTTTGCATACTATGCAGGCCAAGAGCAGTGATGTCTGGGAGTGAGTCCCAGAAGCTAGAGGTCCCTGGGTACATCAATCCTAACGCCAGTGATTAACAAACAAGGCTGTGGATGGAAGCCCTGGAGCATGCTAGGCCAGTGCTCCACCACCGAGCTACACACAGGGTCAATAAATAAAACACTGAAAGAAAAGGTTTCAAAGGGCTTCAGGTACAACGATCCTACAATCTAAGTCTTAAAGATACAACTACAGAGGGGGGGAAATTAACCAAATTTAAACCAAAGAGACCAGATCTTTTGAACCAATTTCCTGAAGAAATTCATTACCATGGCCTGGTATTTGTTGGTTAGTTGTTAAAATAAAGGTGAAAGGTGAATAGGAAGTGAATTAGCTGGAGCACCTGATGCTCTGAGGATCCCCAGGAGAGGCTGACTGGCTTGGTGGTGGCAACATTCTTTAAAGAGGAGATAAGCAGATTTCCTATCGGGACCACTGTCCAAACATCCCCTTCTCTTCTCTGTCGTAATGTTTTTATGGGACTCTCAGTAAAAAAAAAAAAAAAAAAAAAAAAAAGCAGTCAATATAGTCTCAAAAAATATATAAACTCCTTAAAAAGTAGATATACAAAATGGAAAATCAGCTTTTGTTCTGAGCAGTTGTGTGAATCCCAATATCTGGCAGCTGAAGGATTTGTTTCTAAATTGTCAGCAAGGCTGATACATCTCAGGCACTGTTTCTGACACTGAATTAAAAACTAAGGAGGAGGTCAAGGAAGTGAAGAGATTTCTCTTCCTTTCACCTTGGGACCCACCCAGGGGCCATCAGCATGCTGCCCTGGCCCAAAACTAAAAGACAAGGAAAACACAACCCCCCACCCCATTCTGCATGCCTGCTCCCTCACAAAGCTTCCCCCCCCCCAATATCTGAAGGTTGAAAGCCACAGGGACAAGCCAGCAGGCTGCCTGAGGCCACTGACTTCCTGGGGCGTGGAGCCCTCAGGCAGCACTAGTAAGTAACAGGCGTGGCCTCCTCAGGTCACTAGAACCTCAAAGCAGCTCGACGCTACACAGCCTCAAAGCAGCTCGCCCTACACTGCCTCAAAGCCAGGCCTCCACACCCACTGAAGATGCATTTTGCCCACTCCATATGAAAGCACAACACACCCTGTGTCGCAGCAAGGAGAACCAAGGACCAAAAAGAAAACGGGTGCTTGGAGCCACAGCTGGGACCTCTCTGAGGGCACAGGCTCTGCAAAGGGGAAGCAGGGCAAGGTGCCTTCAGATCTCCCTGCCGATGCTGTGCTTAGAAAGCCCACCATCTGGCCTGAGGGCGGATGCTGCTTGCCTGCATTTAGCTGTACAACCGCAGCCCTTCTCTTCCTCAGCTAGCATGGATTTAGGGAGCGGCTTCTGCAAGAAGTGTGGGTTCTATGCCACCAAATCTGGAACCAGCACCCAAAGGTCATCTTGCTCTCCCAGCAGGCAGACTTTCTCCAGAACCATGGGAGCCACGCAGCACCTACCAGTCCAGGTATTGGCTTTGAACCAAAGCCAATGACCCGAAACAACCATGTACAGAAAGACCAGCACATAATACATTTTGTACACGGAACTCTCTCTTTATGCCTAAATGCCTGCATTGGTCTAGATCAATATGTCCCGTAACAGTTAATCCATGGCAACTCAGACCAGGCAAGAGATGCTACTGACAAAGAAGGGCTGCTTAAGGACGCTGTGCCCCCCACAGCCCATACTCGTGCATTTGAATTTCAGCCCAGGGAAAGCAGCAGAGGCAGAAATAACCACCCACAAAAGCCAAAAGAAGGGGTGGGGGAGTGGGTCAGAAAATATATACATAAATAGCAAAGGGCTTTCACATCGGCAGTGAAGGGAGGAGGCCTTGACTATCAAAATGGCCTTAGAGTGACATATCACCGCCAAGATGATGGAGTACCAGTGACACTCCTAAAGTCAGGCGTAGGATCCTCCTCACACACCTGCAATGCAGAGATTTCTGCCCTTTCTGTAATTCACGCTCCCAGCCCAGGCGCTATCTGCAGTGGGAGCCAGTCTGGACTTGTGCAGCCGCCGCTGCTCCTCCTTACAATAAGATTATTGCTGCATAGCAACTTCTCACCAAGGCAAGGAGGCAAAGGAGACAGCAGAGGGAGAGACAAGGGAAGGGAGAGAAGGCAAAGTCCCTCAGCCCCACAGCTCACCTTTTATTTGGGCTTCATATTCGGCGATGATCTCTTTGTCTTTCTTGAACTTAGTTTGAGATGACATCTTCCGACGTGGCAAAAAGAACTGACAGGCTGTTTGATTTATTTCTCCTTTTCTTTCCAAGTCCTCTCCCAAGCCTGGGTAATCACACAGCGATAGTCGATTTCACAGGTTTCAAGGCTAAGCTCTTTCACTTGGCTACAGAGCTGGGCAGAAATCCTTCTTCTGGGAGGAAAATGCTCTCTGCTGGCAGGGAAATGGCTCTGGTAGCTTCCTCCGGTCAGCTCCTCTTGCAAAAGGAGAAATCACCCTGGGAGTACCATAACCTGCCCCAGTTTTCCAGGATTTTTCTTCCAAAATAATAATAATAATAGCAGCCAAGAGCACGAGCACACACACAAACACACTCACAAGTGCACCCTCACCCGGACACGCTTACACGCAATTGTGCTGTGCACACACCCATCCGCACCACAAGCACTCACATACACACACGCATGCACACACTCACTCACACACACACACTCCCTCACACACCCTCACTCACTCACACATGCACACACCCGCTTTCTCACTCATACACACACATCCACAAGAGGCGCGGCGCCTCCTGGGTCGTGTGGCCAGCCTCCGGTTCTCTTTGGAAGGCTCTGCTGAGGAGATGGTCAGGTTGCCAAAGGACCGGTCATCTCTCATCCTCCCTCAGGTCGGTCGGCGCCTGGAGTCTGCTGTCCGGTGAGGATCAAAGCCAGGAGAGGGAGATGGAAGTTTTCTGGCTGTAGCGTCTTAGCTCCTCCGGACCCAGGGATGGACTGTTCACCCCGCAGGGCTGGTGGAGCTCTCCCCCACTGCCCTCGTCACTAGACTCCGCCTCCCGGATTTTATAACAACTGACACATTGTAGCCTACAGGAGAGCTGAACTGGCTGCAAGCAAAAAGGGGAAGAAACGTTTCACAAAAGGAAGGCGGCAGGAGGGGAGAAAATCAGGTTGGGAAGGCCTGGGAGGCTCCCGCAAACTCCAGCTAGTAGTAGCTGGGCTAGAAATTTTTCTAACAAACACTGGAAGATTCTTTTTCATCGCATGGTGAAAATCAATTCAAGCCCTTAAACCATCGGCTGTATGACAAGTTGTTACTCTGCCAAGACTAGCAGAGGGCCTGATACACGCGGTGAAGAGCACTAATATTTTTGGAGGAATAATTTGATCAGAGGGGCAATGCCAGTTTTGTAAGGGGTGGCGCGGGGGGGGCGAGGGCCGGCTGCAAACAGGTTCAGAGAGGGTGGGACAGTACAATTCTACCTCCCTGTGCCTCGTTTCCTTTACCAGTAAAATGGGCTCTGTTTGGAGGCTCTTTTATACACACTTTCAACAGATATATACCAAAGCCTACTCAAGGGCCCACTAGAGTTTACAAGGTGAGAGGCTCCGTACAATGGCAAGGCAAGAATTGAGCTACATGAGTGAATAACAGAAGGTGGTAGAAAATGTCAAGTGCTAAGGAGAATTAAAAACATTGCAGAGCACCGTGAATGTAAAGGGCTTTGGAGCAATTGAGTAAGAACAGAAACTTAGCTTGGCCCAGTACCTGGATACGTAAGCCCCCTATAAATATTGGCAATTATGGTTAACACAACATCCTAGGGGGTACATCCCATATAAGCACCAAAGTAAGTGTTCTCTCACAGGTAAAAGAGTGCAGATCTACATGATGGGAAATTACTTACCCAGGGTCCCCAGGGTTCCAACCCAGACAACAGAATCCACCAGTATTATATGCTCCATAGGCGTCTTCAGCATTTAAAAAGCCCAGTTATGTGTCAAACTATAGGATCGCTCACCACTGGAATTCCACAGTAAGGCTGTCATAAGAGTGTCTTGACCCTAAAAGTTCCCTGAAGAAAACATCTATCACTTTCTCAAAATAAGTATCATCTTCCACTTGTCTTTCTGGAGTGATCCAGTGTGTCCTTTGGCTTGGACTTAGACATGGACAGGCTATCCACACCAGCTCCTAAGAGCTCCCCAAGGGAGAGCCCAACTAGAATGGGCCTGGAGAGGTAGGTGAAGTGAGACGGGGTCTTCCTACTGAATGAGCAGGGAGTGAGCACCGAGAGTTGCCTGAGCAGAAGTCCACCTGGTGAATCATCAGGCTTATTATAGCTCTGGACCTAGAGACAAGAGGTCACAAAGTTCATAAACAGATGCCACAGCCCACATCCTCCTGCCTCACCCGTCCCAGGGACATGCTAGGGCCCTCGTAGTGTCATTAGAGGAAGATATACTCAGAGATTAGCCTCTCTGCCTCAAGCCTAAATCATCAAAGAAAAATGGAGTTAGTGTCCTATGCCCTGGAATGTGAATAAGCAACTAACCGAATTCCTTCCTGTCTCTTCTATGAGCCTGGAGCCTATAGGGCTGGATAAGGTGACTCTGACTGCTCTCTGCACCTACTGGGGGCAGGAACCCAGTAAATGGCAGTTTTAGCCATGAGGACAATTTTAAAACCACACATGTGTATCAGAGACTCACACAGGGCACTGAGCCATGGGAATGTCCCAAGAAGCCATATGACAATGAAGCAAACTGTGTCAGAAAACCCCTGTTGAACAGCAAGGGATGGGTCTCTGTGCAAGAAGGATGGTGACATACAGTCTGTGTAGGGGCTGTAAGTGGCCTCCATGCCTTCTCAGAACTTCAGCGTCCTCTTCTATCAAATGGCAGTCCCATGGGGACCCCACCAAGGGGACCAAGCATCAGATCTTGGGGCTTCCCAGAGAGAGGGAAGGAAAAGAAAGGCTTATAAGCCATAGCCACAAAGATGTCCCCATGCATAATGAAGCTATATTGTCTCAAATCTTCTGTCCCTGGGAAGTGGTGAGTGGCCTAGGCACTGTGACCTCATCTTGTCTCTTCTAACCTTCCTCACAACTAATTGGAGTCTGGGGTCACTCAAATGCCCTTCTACAACAAGCTCTTCCAAATGGCCATTGTTCTTTGTTGAATAGGGACCAGTTGCTACTGTCAATGTTTACTCTTCACAGGACAGTAATAGAAACCAGATTCTCAACCCCACACCCCCCTCCCAGATAAATTTGTAACTGAAAAGGGGCAGTAGAATGTGATTTCATCTGTGCCCCATCCCCACCCCAACCAAGTATTAAAATACCCCTGGAAATATCCTATTTCCCACAGGCTCATTTTCTGAAGCATACTGAATTATTTTAGTGTGTGTGTGTGTGTGTGTGTGTGTGTGTGTGTGTGTGTGTGTGTGCATGACTGCCTGCCTATTGCCCAAGGAGGCCTAACGAGAGTGTCAATTCTCTAGAACTGGAGCTGTGGGCCACCAGGTGGGTACCAGGAACCAAACCTGGGTTTTCTATGAAAACAGCCAGCATTCTGAATCACTGTGTCAACCCTCTAGCCTCCAAAGTTACTTTTTAAAACATGATTTTATTTATTCTTATTTTATGTGCATTGGTATTTCACCTACATGTATATCTGTGTGGGGTGTCAGAGTCTCAGAGAGTTGTAAGCCACCATCTGGGGGCTGAGACTTGAACCCAGGTCCGTGGAAGAGCAATCAGTGCTCTTAACCACTGTACAGGGGAGAGCCCAAGCACTCCATATAGATTTTATAGAGATGGGTCCTTACCAAGACCCATTAGGTCTGGTAATACAAACGTTCTTGTTTTCAAGGAATTAACCAAAAGAGGAATCATGATCGCAATAATGGCTATCAATTCTTTACACAGCTTTTTCATTCTATGATTGTGTTTGTCTTAACCATTTCCAGTGAAAGTTTTCCACTAACCAAATTGGAGGTTAAAAATATAAGGAAAGCATCACAAATGACCATCGGTGTGACTTAAACTACAATCACCACAAAATAACACAAAACTAACCCAACCGGTTTTCTTTTCCTGGTAGAAAAAAAAAAAAGGAAAGGGGGGGAGGTGTGTGGCATTTGAAGGAAGAGTGACCAGAATAGTTTTTGGTTTAAGGCAATTATATTTTTCTGGTCAACTAGAAACACTCCCTGCCCCCGGCTCAAGATGACTAATTCTGTAACATTTTTCCACACTGCTTCCAGCTCATGCATCTACAAACAGTTCAGAGAATTCTGGGCCTCAATCTTGACTCTGCAAAATGGAAGCAGCAACATAACTCAGCCAGCTGGTGATAATGAACTGTGGATGTAGCCCATTGATAGAGTGCTCTGCCTAGCCCTGGGTTCAGTCCCCAGCAACACACACACACACACACACACACACACACACACACACCAGCATGCCTTGTGTGTATACACTGCCTATTATTCTAGAAAGTTCTTTGACTTTGTGCCTTACTTGGTCCTGCAGGTCCCTGAGAGCAAAGAGGACTCTTTCACATCTCTTTCCTTCTGTTAGAAAGTTAGTAGGTAGGTAGAAACTTTGGTGAAGGAATTATTCCATAGCCCAAATATGAGATTGGCCTCTTTAACTGTCTCAAGAGCCAGAAAAGTCTAACAAACTCAATTCTGGAACAAATTGCTTCAAGATTCTGCCTGGAAAAACTACCATAAGCCCCGGCAAGCCTCAGGAGCAGCCCAGACAGAGCAGTATAGCCAGAGGATGAGAAGGAGTGCCGGGAAATGCTGCTTTGGGGACTGACTAGGAAGTCACACTCAGGTCCACAAAGCAGTTGGTGTCACCTGCACAAGGCCTGCACAAGGTAAACCGCCCCAAATGCTGACCCAGGTGGCTCAGACGATCTCCAGGCTCTGCTCTTACTGAAGAAGTGTGTGCTGTTGATAGCTGTGAGGAAGAAGGGGGACCTTCCTTCCTTCCTTTCTTCCTTCCTTCCTTTCTTCCTTCCTTCCTTCCTTCCTTTCTTTCTTCCTTCCTTTCTTTTTCTTTCTGTTGTTTTGTTTGAGACAGGGTTTCTCTGCATAGCCCTGGCTGTCCTGGAACGCCCTCTATAGACCAGGTTGACCTTGAACTCAGAGATCCACCTGCCTCTGCCTTCTGAGTCCTGGGATTAAAGATGTGCACCACCACTCATCAGATCTTTTTATATGAAATATAGAAGGTTGGGTTTCTATACAGAAATATTGGGTTTCTTGGCAATGACACATTTTGGAAGTAAACAGAGGTGATGGCTACCATTCAATGAATGTGCTAAATGCTTTTTTTATTTCATACTTCAATATAGTTATTTTTAATTTTAATTTTAATTTTATGTATGTGGTGTTTTGCCTACATGTATTTCTGTTTACTGTGTGTGTACTTGCTGCCCATAGAGGCCATATTAGGATGTCAGCTCAGATCCCTTGGAATTGGGTTACAGATGGTCATGAGCCATTGTGTGGGTGCTGGGAACTAGACTTAGGTCCTCTGCAAGAGCACCCAGTGCTCTTAACCTGTAAGCTAGCTCTCCAGGGTCTGTGGTTAATTTTCCATATTACATATTCATTTATTTAGGTTTTCTGAAACAGGGTTTCTCTGTATGTAGCCCCTCGCTGTCCTGGAACTCTCTCTGTCAACCAGGCCAACCTCGAACTCAGAGATCCACCTGCCTCTGCCTCTCGAGTGCTGTGATTAAAGGCATGCGCCACCATCTGGCTATATTATGTATATGATCATAATTCAAGTGTATGAGAAAAACACCCACAGCCTAGAGGGAAAGTCAGTGAAGGCTGTGATTGACAGTCCACAGAAAGAACTACACACTTCATTCATGATCAGTATCTATCAGACATGGGTAGATTCAGGGGCTTTAACTGGGTCAGCGTGACACTAACTCTCCATCTTGTGGGGTGTCAGGTTTTCCCCATACAATGGTAAAGGTGACACTACCCCCTCACCTTCCCCCACCC